CTGTTATTTTGTCATCTTGACTCTACTTATATCTCCTTAGTTGTTTAGTTTTATACTAAGACATAAAGGTAGATAAAGGGAGTTAGAGTCTCCATTCTGAAGCAAACAAAACTCGCAGATGAGAGTATACCAATTGTGAGGAGCAGCGATAAGGCTAACTGCAGAAGTCGGGAGGGATCATTTGTAGTTGATGCTTCATTCACTGATATTAATGATTTCCTCTAGTTATTTATATCTCCATGTTGCTACTATTCCTCTGCGAGAACGTGCCTAAAACAACTAACGTATCAATTACATTCACATAGTGTAACCCAGAGAGATTTATATTGGGGCTCCTGCTCTAAGCACATTATTTGCTGATTATTAAAAAAATAGAACATTTTCTGATGTCCTCTAAAGATGGCTTTCTGGCAACCAAAACATCTACTCTCAACTTACCATACTCCATTGCTAAATCCACAAAGATTATGTTCATCATCATACGAACAAAAATCTCTGTAGCAAATGTAACAGATGCTACAGTCAAGCGTCAAAGTATTGTGGGCTTGTTCCAGACTCATAGATTGAGGAGAATGGTTTGTACAGAGTGGAATTATCAAATCACAAAAAGATTCATTTGCAGAAGTGATTACTTCCTTTTCAAGTCAGCAGAAATGTCACCTGTTTTCCTCTCTCTATCTCTCTCTTCTGTCTCCCTCTCCCTCCGTCTCTCTGCGTATCTTTCTGTCTCCATCTTTATCTCTCGCTGTCTCTCACTCTCTCTCTCTCTTAATCTCTCTATCTTCTCTCTCCCTCTCCCTCCCTCTCTGCCTCTGTCTTTCTCTCTCTGTCTCTGTGTCTCTGTCTGTCTGTCTCCCTCTCTGTCTCTCTCTATATATACATAAATACATATATATACGTATATATGCATATGTATGGATATGGATATGGATATGCCAGAATAACACTTGCCTGGCCCCACAATTCACAAATTTATATTTGTGCATTGAACTTCATTGTACTGGCCATTATATTGCAAGCAAACAAGTCCTTTTGTCTTCTCCCTCCCTGACTTCTTATTGTGGTGGTGGACCCTCATAACCCATCACAGTGTTAAAGGAGCATGTGTTAAATGTCCTTATTTCTTAGCGCATGAGTCCTAGTTCTCAGACATTCAAGAAGTAGCAGGAAATTAACCATGGAAAAATATGGAAACTGTACTTGAAAGGTGGAGTACAGAATTATAGAAACAACCTTGGATATCTCATAAAACCTTTATAAAGACCTCAAGACAACTGAAATATAGACTATTCCAAGCATCCTTTATCTTTATCACAAAAAATGAAGAAAAAAGGTGAACAAAGCCCAAGAAAATTAAAAAGAAGAGGAAATCTATTTAGAATAACCAAGATCTTAGGGCAGAGGAGATGGTTACTTCTCTAATGGTGACATATCATATGAGTCTAATTCTCCTCCCTCAATGAGAAGCATCCATCCCCTCTGCTGTTTCCATGTACTCCTCACCTGCCTAAAAGAGTAGAAGGATTGAATTTCTCTAGATATGTCAGACCTGCTCTCCCAAAGAGTATCAGGAATTAAGCATCTTCAGTTTTATTTCAAGTTCAATCGTAGTCAACATGTCTTCGAAGTATTAATTGTCATGTGCTCAGTTAAGGAAAGTTCCTATGCTTCTTCTCTCTTGGGAATATGCCAGACAGAGTCTCACATAATTAATTGTGTCTCTCTCTTCATTAGGGAAAGCTTGTCATTCAGTGACACTCACTGTAGTTCTTTCTTGCCTTTCTAGGATTTGTCCAGCTGGTCGCAGGGGATGGGCCCTGTATTGGGAGGGTAGAAGTCAATTCTGAAAGAAAACAGGGCACGGTCTGTGATTGGAATTTTAATCTTTCTACTGCCAAAGTCATCTGTGTTGAGTTAGAGTGTGGGACTGCAGTCTCCATCATGAAAAGAGCTCACTTTGGAAGAGGAAATGGACACATCTGGGATACAGAATTCCAATGTAATGGAAGTGAACCGCTTCTGTCATTGTGCCCCACAGTACCACTTCCACAGGGAAATGCAGTCACAGCATGGATGTTGGAGTCATTTGTTCAAGTAAAATTTTCACAATGTTTTTATGCTGCTCCCACATTGCACTTGATACTGAAATTAGAAAATCACAATCACTTTTCTAAAGCCCTGTCTCCTTCTCCCCAGAGTACACAGACTTTCGTCTGATGAATGGAAGCTCCCAATGTGAAGGAAGAGTGGAGATCCAAGTTTTGGGGACCTGGAGAACTCTCTGTGACTCCCACTGGGACCTGGCAGATGCCAACGTTCTCTGCCGTCAGCTCAACTGTGGTGTTCCCATGGAGCCTCCAGAAGACGTGTATTTTGGCAAAGGAAGTGTCCCAGTCATAGGGGATACATTTTATTGCACAGGCACTGAGTCTCGTTTGTGGAATTGTCCTGTGACTATCCTGGGGACTTCTCCATGTTCCAAAGGAAAAGTTGCTTCTGTGGTCTGTTCAGGTTAGGGACTCAAAGCTTATCTCCAGGTGATGGTCCAGTGAAAGCAATGATACATGCAGGAAGGAAAAGGCTAGAAGTGTCTGCACACATCAACAGTCAGGTGGTCATTTTCAGTATCCAGAGGGAAGCCATGGCATCTTTTCTCTGATAGCAAGTATGAAGGGTCCTCACCATGTTATTGGGAATTATTCATGGCAACTGTACATGTTTATTTTATATATGCCATCATTCATTCATGATTTCTCTTTGGAAATTCCCAGATAGGAAAGATATATTGTGATCCATCAACTACTTTAGAGGAAAGTGTAGAATTATGCTACTGTGTAGCACTAATAGTGAACAGAGATATATTGGCTCTGGACATTGGTAGGAAGGACTGAGAATGAACAGACTTAGACAAGAAGAACTAAGAATTGCCTGAATTCCTATGTTGGGTGTTTCCACAGAGCAAGATTCTGCAAGGATAGAATAGATTAGAGAAGGTCATAGACACTGGGATACTTTTTGATATTGGGTGGACCATATTGCAGCCATCTTAGAATAAAATTCCAAGACTTTGTTCCTTGAAAATTGTAACCCTTGTCTCAAAAGCCATTTGCAAAGATCTCTTCATTGGGGGAAATTGATTTCATGAGGGTCTGAGTTGGTGAAAGTTGGAGAAAAGACAGATCCTGGTCAGAAAGAAAGACAGATCCTGAGCCAGAAGACCAGTATCTCTCTTCTCTCCAGGTCTCACTAACTTCATCTCATGAAATCAATTTCCACTAATGAAGAGATTCTTATGCAAATAGGCCCTTGAACCAAATATTACACGATTTTATCTTCTTTGTATATTTGTTTGAGGGAGTAAAAGTTGAATTGTGTAAAACTTTCTCATCAGACATACAAATAGGTCAATTCATATCTAGCTAGTCCAAGAGAGATACCTATCCCTCTAGAGCAGGGATTCTTGACTATTTTTGGGCCATGGCCTCCCTTGGGGTAGCCTCAGGACTCCTGAGAACAATGTTTTTAACTGATCTCCCCCACCAATTAATGTCAGGACAATCAGAAGTTAGATTGAAACTGATCATTACCCCTCTAGACTAACAATATTTAAGGAAGCAGATAAAAATAATTCTAGCCTGGCACCCCTTCTATCTGAGGAGAGCAGAGCAGCCTCTGGCCCCAACCTCCTGCTTCCCCTCCTGGTGGGAATTAAAGTCTCCCTTGGAGAAGGGGAGGGAGAGAAGCTAGGTACAGAGGCAGCTAGGTGGTGCCGTTAGAGTTCAGGTGCAGGAGTCAGGAAAACCTGAGTTCAAATTTGGCCTAAGACTATTATTTGCTGCATGTCCCTGGGCAAGTTACTTAACCCTGTTTGCTTCAGTTTCCTCATCTGAAAAATGATCTGGAGAAGGAAATGACAAATCACTCCAGTATCTTTGCCAAGAAAACTCTAAATTGGGGCACAAGGAGTTGGACATGAATGAAATGACTGAGCTACAAGAGGGGGAGAAGAGGGCTAGAGATGTCTATTCTTCCTGTCTTTGAGCCACACAATGATACCCCCACGCTACACGTGAGGGGGACAGTCTTTCTACACATGAGGTCTCACCATGCACAGTTCTCTTTACACATAGGTCCTAGCTATAGGTGTGGCTTTTCTTACCTAAAAAAGAGACCAATTATACTGAAATATAATTATCAATGTATTTCATTTATTTATTTATTTTCTCTTTTAAAATAGTATTTCATTTTTTTCTAATTACATGTAAAGATGATTTTAAAAATTCATTTAAAAATTTATAGTTCCAAATTGTCTCTTTCTTTCCCTAAACTCACCCCTCCCTAAGCAATTTTTATCAACATATTTTAAAACAAATTCATATATTCCAAGTCAAAAAACTCCTGCTCTGGAGTTTAGACACAGGCTGGTGGCAGACATATGGTAGGGGGAAGCTAGCCTATAGAGTTCATAGGTGCTAGACCTAGCAGAGGGGGAGAAAAGCCTGAGGAAGGATGACCAGCTAGAAGTGCTGCAGCCTTTCTCTCAGAAGCTCTTCCTTATACAAGGTCGCAGACCTTTTAGGGCACTTTGTGTATGGAGGGTATGGCCGGAGCTGTGGGAGTGGAGCAATAGAACTGTCAATGAGAACAATTCTGTTAGACAATATAGAGCCAAAACATGCCTTCTTAGACTGGGAAATCCCTTTGTCCCTCCCTCACAACCTGTCTTCTTTCCAATTTCCTGACCCTCTCTTTCTCTCATCCAGTGCCTTTCCTCAAGATACATATTTACCTTATTTATCGCCTCCTGGCTTAAAACTTCCAGTCCTAGAGCTGAGCTGTGTGCTTTTTGCAGGAAACCAGACACAGTCCCTCATGTTCAATAATTCACAGTCTGACCAGGAAAAGGTACCTGTCCTATTTTCAGGTAAGAAAGAAAGTTAGACAATCTGAGGAAACCTTTCTCTTTCTTGGGGAAAACAGGAAATTAATCTGAATTTCTCCCTGTAGAAATTGGACAGCTTCGTCTGTTGAATGGAAGAGGTCCCTGCTCTGGAAGAGTTGAAGTCTATTACAATGGTACCTGGGGAACCATCTGTGATCATTCTTGGGACTTGAGTGATGCCCATGTGGTGTGCAGGCAGCTGGGCTGTGGAGTGGCTCTCAAAGCCATGGTCTCTGCTCATTTTGGACAAGGATCAGGGCCCATCTGGCTGGATGAGCTTAGCTGCTCTGGAAACGAATCCCACCTAGGGGAGTGCCCTTCCCTCCATTGGGGTCAGCATGACTGCAGGCACAAAGAGGATGCGGGAGTCCTCTGCTTGGGTCTGGGCCACACATGTCCCACTAACACTGAGGGACTTGTGGGAGCACTGAGGAGGTGAGGTTTAGAGACCTGAGGGAGAAGGAGCTGATTCAGACAGGGAGGAGGACTTCCTGCCCCAACCAGAGCCCTTCCTAGATTGTAGTTTTAGGGCAAGACCTGTTATCTGAAGGATGATTTTATTTATCTCCTACATTTGTATAGGTAGGTCTCCTCCCTTATGAACATATGTGTATGTGTGTATGTGTGAGTGTGTGTGTGTGTGTGTGTGTGTTTCTTATACTTTATTTCCTAGTAGAGTGCTATTCACACAATAGCTGATTTGCTTTTCTATTGGTGGTTCACAGACACACACTGATTTTGAAACTATGAAACTGATTAGTGAAATCACAGTAAAAGCATCCTGTCTTTTTTAATGGGGGAGACAAGATAGAGAGAAGTGTACAAAAATATAGAGGAAGGAATTCTGGAAAAAAAAGGTCTGGGGTCTATGCTATCCAATGGAGACTTCAGCAAAGCCAGAGAACCTAATACAATTTCCAGAGAGAAGAGACCCAGAGAATATGGGAACAAATATCCCTTCTGATTATGCCATACCTTCCTCTCCATTTACAGAATCCCTGGATCTCAGGCTGGGGAGTGAGGACCATAAGCGCTCTGGATGGCTAGAGGTTTTCTACAACGGAACGTGGGTTAGTGTTTGCTCCAACTCCATGGACTACAATACTGTATCAGTGATTTGCAGACAGCTGAAATGTGGTGCCAAGGGAAATATTGAAACATTTTCTCGCTCCCAAGAAAGTTTGCAGGCCTGGTGGATAGACAAAATCAACTGCCACGGTCAAGAATCCTTCCTCTGGCATTGTCCTTCTCAATCTTGGGACCAGAATTCTTGCCACCAGGGAGAAGAAGCTTTTATCACATGTGAAGGTAACTACGTTGTCTCTTCTGTTTGATTCCTTTTTAATTGGATTACTTTTTAGTTCAAGTGGATTCAATCTGTGGACATGATCCAGACCCAAATTTATTTTAATCTATCCAAGTAAACAGTGGAAGAGACCTAAGTTGGTAGCAGGTATGCGACAAAGGTCTCAGATTTTTTATTTAAGTTGACTAATACTTGATGTGAGCAAGTTGTGAGTCAGTCTTTCTCTACTCCACAATTCCTGTCCTCATAGCAAGAGATTAAAGATTCCCTCAAACACCCTAACCTTCCAGTTCTTCACCTTACTCATTTCCAAAAACATTCATCCAACTTAGACACACAAAAAGATAGTCATACTCTTGATCTTGCTATCACCTACAAGTGTTCCACTTATTTATTTGCAAACTCTGAAATTCCTTTATCTGATTATAACTGATGGTAATTACAATTCTCTCTCTGTCTTGCAACCCCCAAACTATTCTTCATCCGCACCATGACCTCCAATCCTCAGATGTTTCTAAGGTCATCATTCCTACTCTGACTAGACTCTCTGTTTTCCCCATCTTGATTCCTTGGTGAACCAGTTCATCTCTATTCTATCCTCTTCTATTGAGTCTCTTGCTATACTATTTCCAAACTTGCCTTTTCAAGTCTCAGTCTTAGTGTATGTCTACCATATACTGCCTTTGCTCCTACTCAGGGAAACCTGAATGAAGCTGGAAAAAATCATGGAATCTTGCTGACTTGGTTCATAAAAATATGTTATATAATCTTACTGGGCCCTCACTGTAGCAATTGAATCTTTTATGCTTCCCTAATAGATTCACTAGCCCACTCTCCATAATGTCTTTTCCAAACTGTTTCATCCCTCCTTAAACCTCATCTCCTCTTCCCTCTCATCCTTGTCTCATATCTCATTGAAAAAGTTGAAGTCATTCATCAAGAGTTCCCTGTTCTTTCCTCCACATATCATCTCATCCAGATACTTTCTGTCACTTTCTCTTCCTTCACCCTTGTCTCACATAAAGAGATGACCTTTCTTCTTGCCAAGACAATTCTTGTCTACTAACTACTCTCCTACCGCACACAAACATACTTGTCTCCCCATCTTCATAAAAACTCTCACTTAATCTGTCCACCCCTACTGGCTATTATCCTATGTTTTCCCTCCCTATGGCGGCTAAAATCAAAAGCCAATATTCATATATAGAGATGGAGTATCATGTGTGATGAATAGGGAATGGGCCTGTATAGCTGAGTAGTAGAGTGTGTGGAGAGGAGGAATGTATAAGAATTGTGGAAAAATACAATGAGACCAAGCTGAGAAAAACTGTGAAGAACAGAGAAGTTCTATTGGATCCTGGAGGTAACAGGGAACTACAGGATTTTATTGGACATGGGCATTATGTGGACAGCTAGGTGGTACAGGCCTGGAATTAGGAAGACTCATCTTCCTGAAGTTCAAATCCAGTCTCAGACACATACTAGCTGTGTGACCCTGGGCAAGTCACTTAACTCTGTTTGCCTCAGTTCCTCATCTGTAAAATTATCTGGAGAAGGAAATGGCAAACCACTCTAGTATTTTTGCCAACAAAACCTCAAATGGGGTCACAGAGAGTCAGACATTACTGAAAAATGATTTAACAACAACAAAAAATATGTGGGCAAAAGTCCACTCTAAAATTGTCATAGATTGGCAAAGAGAGGACCAATCAGAAGTCTTTGCAATAGTCCTAGAGATAATGGAGACCTGAGCTAGAATGGTGGCTATATTAGTGGAGAGAAGGGAATATGTGGAGATGGAAATGATAAGATTTTCCAACTAATTGGATATGTGGGAAAAGTGAGAGTGAGGGTTCAAGAATAGCCCTAAGATTGTGAGTCTGAGTGACTGGCAGGGTGGTAGTGTCTTTACAGTAATACAGAAGTTTAGGAGGAAAGTGTGTAAGGAGAAGAAATAACAGGAGATAATGAGTGTTATTTTAGACACATTGAGTTTGAGATGTCTATGGGATAGAAGGAAGGTTATATGACTCATCCAGTCCCTGTGGGAATCTTTCATGTCTTGGAGAATTAACTGTTAGTTCAGAGAATCTGCTGAGAAACATGTGAGGGAGAGGTTGAGGTAGGGGTGGGGGGACCTACAGAACTTTCTTAGAGAATATGTGGCACTTTCACAAATTTCCAATTTTGGCTTCTGGACTTGGAATCTGACTTCAGCACAGGTCCTCTGATTCCAATCCATATGATCTCTAAGTCTCTTCTTGAGCTTGAGCTGGATAAAGGAGAACTAGGAAATCTAGGAGTCTTCCTAAGCTATTTGGATGGAGCATTATGGGAGGATGTTCATATAATAGGGAGTTTAGAGCAGGATGCAGAAGCCATGCCCAACCTACATTCTACCCATTTTTCAGGTTTTTTTTCTCCTCTTCTCTTCCAGTTGAGAAGTTGCCATCTACCACAAAAGGTACAATGCTCTGCCAATCCATCACTCCCCTTCTACCAGCTCTGGGTTAATTTGACAACAGTGAGGTTCTCAGGACCAAGGTTGACCTTCTTTCATTTCTAAGGAGATCTGCTGTACCAGAATCCTGAGAAACTGCTGAGAAGCTTGTGGGCTGGGCATTGAGGTGGGGTTTGGAGAATGTTCTTCAAGAATATATCACCCTCCTGCCAATTTCCAGTTTGGAGATCTGGAACTCAGGCCCCATAAGGAAGGATAGTCCCTTCACTGTCCTTTCTTGGGCATCCAAGCCTATCCCAGTCCCCTCTACAGTGCAGTTGAGGGAGGTCCCCAGTTGGAGGATCTTTAGGTTGAGGGTGAGCCTCAGATTTCCCTCCTCTCTCCATATTAACCTCAGTGAGCTGTCCTGGGGAGGGTTTGACAACTTCTTCCATAATCCAAAGCCTTATGATTCTTCTTCTCCAAAGGACCAAAAGCCTCTTTGAACTCTCTGCTTGGGATCCTCTGCCTCATTTTAGGGGCCCTCCTCCTCCTAGGCCTCATCGTCCTAGGGATTCAGATGCACAGAGGGAGAATCCAGGAAAAAGGGGGGCAACCCATGGGGCACTGAACAACATGGGAAAAGAGTGTAAGTGAGTGAAGGGAGGAAATGATAGGGATAGGGATTTTAGAAAAAGCCAAATAAAGCACTTCAGGACTGGATATGACTCATATGTTTTGCTCTGGTTTTCAAGCCCCAGATAGCTCCAACTGTCATTGGCCCAGTAGAGGCTAAGCTATGAGCACAGAGCTTGTGTTAGGTTTGGGATTCCCAAGGTCATACCATATGGGCTGGGGAAAAAAGGCATCCATATTAGAACTAGGGAGTTGCCTGAATGTGAACAGAAAATAGATTGAGGAGTGTCCATGAGACAAATATATGTCAGGTGATGGTCTCAGGCCCAGAGCTTCTGATGCATGGCCATTTGTCCCAGCTTTGTCCAGATATGAAGATTCTCTTTATGAAGCTGTGTACCAAGAGATTGATTACCACCTGACAGGGGACAAGGAGGACTTTCTGAGCAGCCCAGGTAAGTGTATCTTCTGCCCATCCTTCTCCCTTGGACACTCTGGACATGAACTAAATGTTTTGCTCAGTATCAGAATCTATGGTCTTGGCATCTTCAGAAATCTCTGACTCTACTTACCTGCTATAGTTTTCCCCACCCTCCTTCCCATAATATTTTAGTTTCCATTTCCCATTCTCTACATGGGCAGGCAGGCCCAACAACCCAATCCTGAGCTCTGAGCTTCATCTCTAGAGGGAAAATGCCCAGAGCTCTGAGTTCTTTTGGTTCTGATGTTCTTTTGTCAGTCTGGGTCCCATTGATTATAGTGCCTACAAGTTCAAGATAGGAGTCTCATAATTTCAGGACCAAAGATGCAATGATTTCATTTCTCTAAGAGGATAGCCAACTCAATAGAATTTGTTAACCCATTATACCATTCCCTCTACATCTGGAGCTTTCTTGGTAAGAACAGAATTGGAGCAAAAAGACTTGAGCGTCCCAAAAAGATGACAACATGAAACCATGGAAGAAATCCCCTTCCATACTGTTAGGACTTTTACATCCACATGCATGGTACTGATCTTTACAAGCAGAGCCACCTCTCTCCTGGCCAGCCCTGACACCCTCACTCACTCACAAACTTTCAGTTTTCCACACTTTTTCCCCAAACTCTGCAAGAAGAACAGCACTCTTCTGTTAGGACATCACCCATGACATGCTGCAATTTTTAGAACATAACTTGTTTTACATTACTAATGTCTTGGCAGTCAAGTTCTTACCAACCAAATGTGGAGACTTCCAGGAAGGTGGCATGAGAGTTTCTGTCATGTTTGGGAGGTCCCTTAGTCTCACCAGAACACTTTGATTAATCGTCTCAAAGAGTGACTTTTTGTCCTCATCACCAAAAACTGGGAGTGCCCTCTCTTCAAGGTCACCTCCCTGGTGTTCAGAACACATTGTCACATTGTTCAGAAAAATCTGGATAAACCCAACCTGGGGCATGGAAGGAATGAGTTTCCTTTTCGTATTTGATTCTGTCATGTTCTTCTAATCAGGGTCCCTTCTGGATGATGTGAGAGACAAGCTTCCATAGTAAACAGGGGAAAATGAAGGGAAAAGTCAACCTGTACTTTCCCCAAGTAATAAGAAAGGGTAGGCCTTAGAGGCAAGCACTGATGTTTCCCAAGGAGTTTTCTCCTCTGGGGGGCATCAGCTAAAATACAACTCTCCTGTCCTCAGCTCCTCCTCATCCCAGGCATCCCATACCTCCCTAGGCCAGACTTTTAAGAACTCTCTCAATGGGAACTTGGTACTCTCTGTTTGACTCCAAACATGTGCTTGGGCGATAGAGGTTTGGACTGAGGCAAGATAAATGATTCAGGGCAAGGGAAAAAGGGAGCCAGGTTTGGTTTTATAGGTGGCTACGCTCCTGAGAGGACATAGGGCTTGATTTCAGGGTCAGAATACTGATCAAAGAGGCATCAGAATCTGGAGGATAATTCAGGGAATCAGCTTACTCTCTCTTGTGTATTCTGTCTCAGGGTCACTATCAACAGAGCAACATGAATGAATCATGACAGGGTTGAAGGTTCTGGTCCAAGTGATTTCTTCCTTGAAGCTGGGGCCAGTAATAAACAGTGAGGTAATAGAAATTAAGAGAGGAGAATTTTGAAGCTAAAAGAAATGAAGGAAAGATAACACCAAAGTCGCTGAAATCATTGTCCTATATGAGGGACCATTTGTCCCCTTTCCCAACTTCGTGATTCTTAGTGCAAAGTTAGGTCACTAATCCTAACCTGAGGTAGTCTTATTCTTTAGCTCAATTCATCTTTGAACACCTCCTGATACTCCTTTACACCTTAAAAAACAAAATAATGCATTTGTTTTCACATGCACAAGGACATCCCCTCAGCAAATCATGTTGAAAACAAAACTGTTCATCTCTCCCTCAGATATCTCAAGTCAGCCTGATGATAGACCAGGTGATGGGTATGATGATGCTGAGAAATTATCTGGGCCTGAAATTCCCCCTGTCACCCAGATGAATGAGGGGAGTAATTGGGAGCCTACCAATAACTGGGATGACTACAGGGCATCACACACAGATGAGTGGTTCCCAACAGACTTATTGACTTGACCGGTGAGATTTCCAGCTACAAGTGGTATTACCTACAAATACACTTATGTGAAAACACAAACATGTCTATATACAGATGTGTTTGTCTACCAAATTTATGAATACACATATATGCACCTATACATATGTGCTGACATGTATTCAAGTGTATAGATGTGTGTCATACATAAGGTGAAAAAATTTTGTCAGTACCTCGCAAATTCTCTGTATTGACATTTTTTCATGAATATACCTGGGACAACTGTACCCACAGTGATGTGACTAAGCAACTAAATGAGCAGACCCTGGGGTTCTGAAGCTGCCTCCTCCATTATCCCATTCCCTTTGACTCCAACCTGCCCCCAATGTCAAGAGAAGCCCTTCCATAGCCCTCTCTCAGTCCTGGCCATTCCTGTTCCCTTTCCTGTCCATGGTGCATCTAGACTGAGAAAAGACTTTGTACCTAGGTCTTGAAAGTGGCCTTCTTTTCACCCACCTATACCATCACCAAAGGCTCCTTGCTTTTCTTTAGACACAGCTACAAATTCAGCTCTACTTTACTGGTTCTAGGTCAGTCTCCTAAGTTCTTTGGGGGATCCCCTGACTCCAGGATGGGAGAAGAAGACCCACCAATGTCCTCTGAGGACCTGGGATATGATGAAGCTGAGATCAGTGTCCCAAAGATGTCACTTTAAGACCATCAGCTACAAACAGTCTCTTAATAAATGTTTGTTGAATTGGAGTGGAGTGGAATCAGTTTCCTGTGATACTTGAAATAGTTTTAGAACTCACCTGCCCTCCAACACTCTATCTTGAGAGGACAATGTTGAGGGTTTCCTCTCCACCCCTTCTCATGTGGTGAACATCTCTCCACTATCCTGAACTCTCCCACCAGGGTGAGATTTTTGCCTCTCTCAAAAGTGTTTCTCTTTCAGGACCTTTAATTCTGAAATGTCCCTCTTTTATCCTTCTTCTTTTCCTATGTCCTTACTCCTAAACCTGCCTTTACCTACATCTTATTCTCTAATCTCCTGATCTCTCCTTTTTCTTCTAGTCCTGTACCCACAATATGACTTCACTTGTCTTCCTGCCCTTCACTAATAAAATGATCAGCCTTCTCAACTGCTCAGAAAACTTCTGTGTAAGCAAAGATGCTTTATGAAGAGTCCAGGCATGTTCTCTGGATTACAGAGAACACACCTCTTCAGAGAAGCACCTTCCCTGTTGAATTATTAGATTATATAAGCTAGTCTTCTCCCCTACTCCTCCAGACATGGAGATCTCATGTTCACTCTCAGTTGGACAGAAGACTTTGATTCCAGGATCCTAATTCTTTTTAATCCCTTCTGCTATCCTCCATAAGAATCTCCCTTGATTCAGGGAGAATTCTCAATCCATGGCCATATCTGCATCATAATTAACGTTTTTGCTTCCATATTATACCCCTGACCTAGCTAGTGAGAGAAATGATTATTAATAACCAGCTGTGGGGGGCATCCAGGCTTTTTCCCTGTTCTATTTCCTTGTTTGAAGGCCAGTCTTTGAAGGACATTACTGATCTCTGCCCAACATTTACCCTATCTAGACCATCTTACCTAGGTGAATTCCTGTTCATTGTGTCCTACTCAGGTTTGGATGGGGATAAATTCTTTCATTAAATTGCCCAAGTGGGTAGAGTCAAGATGGCAGAGTGAAAGCACTGACTTGCTTGAGCTTTCCACCAAATCCCTCCAAATAAAAATGGCTCTAAACAAATTATAAAGCAGCAGAACCCCATAAAAAAGACCGAGTGAAACAAATTTATAGCCCAACACAGCCTGGGTGGTTGATCAGAAAGGTATATTGCGCCAAGTAGAGAGAGTAGCACAGTTCAGCATGGGCGCCCAGGCAAGGCAAGCTTCAGCAACTTGGAGCCTCAGAGGACTTAATCACAGGCAGCTGTGGCAATTTGCAGACTTCTCAACTCATGAACGCCAAAGACAACTTAGAAGGTCAATAGGAAAAGTCTGTGACTGTGATGAGAGAGAGAAGTGAGGTCCCAGCCCCAGTCCTGAGCTCAGCCCCAGGGTGGCGGAGCTTCCAGAGCTTCCAGAGCTTCCAGCCCACAGACTGAGGGGGAGTCGAGTGGCTGATCAAAGGGAGATTGCAGGGATCTCTCTGCTGGTGCAGGATTCTCTTGCTTTGCCTGTGCTTGGATCTGGGTCACAGTTATGGGTGGCAGTTCTGGAGCAAGGAGGAGTGCTGGCATGGTGGAGCTTATGCCTTGGTGGAGAGGGAATCCTCACAGTTCCAAGCAGAAAAGAGTGCTTGTAGTCACTCATAGACCAGAGCACAGGCCAGGAAAGGAGTAAACACCTCACCCCTTATCATACCACCTTGGAAGAACTGAAAATTTACAGGTCCTTAGAAGTATCTTCAGCTGCACAAAACCCCCAAAGCATGGGAGAGTACATTCTCCACACTGGAAGCAGACTTCTACCTTAACAAAGAGTTTTAAACTCAAGTAATTGGCTGGGATCATTAATAAAAAAGGGTCCAAAAAACAGTCAGATCATAGAATCTTTCTTTGGTAACAAAGAAGATCAAGACATACAACCAGAAGAAGACAACAAAGTCAAAACTCCTACATCCAAAGCCTCCAATAAAAATATGAATCAGCCTCAGGCCATAGAAAAGCTCAAAAAGGAGTTTGAGAAACAAGTAAGAGAAATAGAGGAAAAACTGGGAAGAGAAATGAGAGTGATGCAAGAAAATCATGAAAAACTAGTCAACAACTTGCTAAAGGAGACCCAAAAAAATATTGAAGAAAATAACACCTTAAAAAATAGCAAAAGAGATCCAAAAAGCCAATGAGGAGAAAAATGTCTTAAAAAGCAAAATTGGCCAAATGGAAAAGTAAGTCCAAAACCTGACTGAAGAAAATACTTCTTTAAAAATTAGAATGGAGCAATTGGAAGCTAGTGACTTTATGAGAAATTAAGACAGCATAAAACAAATCCAAAAGAATGAAAAAATAGAAAACAATGTGAAATATCTCATTGGAAAAAACAACTGACCTGGAAAATAGATCCAGGAGAGAGAACTTAAAAATTATTGGACTATCTGAAAGCCATGATCAAAAAAAAGAGGCTAGACATCATCTTTCAAGAAATTATCAAGGAAAACTGCCCTGATATCTTAGAACCAGAGGGCAAAATAGAAATGGAAAGAATCCACTGATCACTTCCTGAAAGAGATCCCCCAAGGAAAACTCCTAGGTATTGTGGAAATACAATCAGGATAACACAAGATTTAGCAGCTTCTACATTAAGGAACTGGAGGTCTTGGAACATGACATTCCGGGGGGCAAAGGAGATAGGATTACAACCAAGAATCACCTACCCAACAAAACGGGGCATAATCCTTCAGGGGAAAAAATGGGCATTCAGTGAAATAGAGGACTTTCAAGCATTCTGGATGAAAAGACCAGAACTGAATAGAAAATTTGACTTTCAAATACAAGACTGAAGTGAAACATGAAGAGGTAAACAGGAAAGAGAAATCATAAGAGACTTATTAAGATTGAACTGTTTACATTCTGCTTGGAAAGATGATGTTTGTAACTCATGAGACCATTGTCAGTATTAGGGTAGTTGGAGGGAAAAAATTATATGTAGATAGATAGATAGATAGATAGATAGATAGATAGATAGATAGAGGGTACAGGGTGAGTTGAAGATGAAGGGGTGATATCTGGAGAAAAAAATTAAGGGATGAGAGTGGATTATACTGGAAGAAAGAGAAAGGGAAAGGTAGAATGGGGTAAATTATCTCACATGAAACAGACAAGAAAAGGCTTTTACAGTGGAGAGGAAATAGGGGAAAGTAACAGGGAAGGAGTGAATCTTATTCTCATAGGATTTGGCTTAAGGAGGGAATACCATACACACCAAATTGGGTATGGAAATCTATCTTACCCTACAGGAAAATGGGGGGGGAGACAAGAGAGCAGGGGAATGATAGAGGGGAGGGCAGATTGGAGGAGGGAGTAATCAGAAGCAAACACTTCTAAAGAGGGACAGGGTCAAAAGAGAGACTAGAATAAATGGGGGACAGGATAGGATGAAGGGAAATATATTTAGTTTTTTCACAACATGACAACTATGGAAGTGACTTCATATGTATAAACTGTATCGAGTTGCTTGCCTTTTCAATGAGGGTGGATGGGGAGAGAGGAAGGGAGAAAATTTGGAACCCAAAGGTTTAAAAACACATGTTAAAAAAAAGTGTTTTCACATGCAACTGGGAAATAAGAAATACAGGAAATGGGTTAGAGAAATCTATCCTGTCCTATAGGAAAATTGAAGGGGAAGGGGATAAGAGAAGGTGGGGAGAGATAGAAAGGAGGGCAGATTAGGGGAAAGGGTACACAAAATGCATGCCATCTTGGGGTGGGGGGAGTGATGAGATGGGGAGAAAGTTTGGAACTCAAAAACCTGTGGAAGTGAATGTTAAAAACTAAAAATAAATAAATTTTTTTAAAAAATTGTCTAAGGCTGGGGTTAAGTTGAAAGTAAATGACATGATCAAAGTCATATCCTCCCAGCCCCTTATTAGAATAGGTCCACCTCTCATTATAATATTCATTCTCTTTCATTACTTGTTAACCAATCAGGGTCAATTGCCACCCTCAGGAACACCCATTCTTCCAAGGGCGTATAAGCTTCGAGCAGGTTCCATAAGGGCTCTTTGGTATTAAAGAGTGTCATGCTAGCATTATTAATAAAATAATTAATTTCCCAGAAACCATGTCTCTTGAACTTTTTAAATGTCACACTGCTTATAATCTAAACTGAAAATATTTCTATGAAGTTAACTCATTCCACAGCTCCTTCTCTTCCCTGCCCCTTCAAACCCCTATCTTAAGCCCTTCCTCTCAATTTCCACATTGTATTTTATTCATTACTTTGTAAGATATCATCTGTCCAAACAAACTACTCTTCCAAAAAGCACATCTAAAACATCTATTATATGCTCATAGA